GGTAGTCCTGTGGAAGGACATGTGGAGTGAGGATCCCACATGTCATGGGAAGTTAGTGATAAAATACTTAACTGCGACCAGACAGAAGTCATAAAGAATATGATTTTAGCCACATCTTGCTCAAGAAAAGATTTCTTTTTTTTCTACCGAGTGACTGAAAGGCCTTTGTATTTTTAGTGAAGCAAAGAATTCACTTAGAATTTCAGGATGCTCTAAGATTGGTCTACACTTCTTGAGAATGATGCTTGGAGAACTGGCAAGCACAGGACAAAGGCCAATGTCAGGACTAGAAAGCTGCTCATTAACTGAATGGTTGTCAGTATCGTGTCCCTAACAACATAGCAGACAATGTCCTAAGAGAATACCATTAGGTGGTTTCTTACACTAGACTGGCAGCTATGTGGAAGCCGACCAAAGGTGAGTGGAGGAAAAAAAACAAGCAATGAAAAAGAGTAGCAGAGAAGCTTCCCTTCAAAACTACTTGAAAGCTAGGAATTGTACATGGATTACATGCCTGTAATCCCAGCACTCTCAGGAAGCTGAAACAACAGGATAACCACGCATTTGAGGCCAATCTGGTCTACACAGTGAGTTTTAGGTTAATCAGGGCTAAATTGCAAAGACTCTGTCTCAATTGTAGTAATAGTGATAAATAATAGTAGTAATAGTAATAATACTGATAATAATCTACTTATAAACAAAAACATCAAAATATACAAATAAACTGAATGTTGAAGGAAAGCCAATACGATTTGATTCACAATTGCAAGGACTGTTCCTCAATCCATCAGTTGCCAATAGTTAAGTAGGGAGGACTGGGGACAGGAGCCCTAGTCCTGATCCATAATTGGCTATTGGCAAGCTCACTGCAGCTACCACAACTGCTATGAAATTATTTGCTGTAACTATATCATACCTAAAAACAGCATTGGCCAGCCCTTCTTCCTGTCTTCTGGCTCTTCCATTTCTTCTGCTGTCTCTTCTCCAGTATTCTCTAGGTCTTAGAGAGAATTTATAAATGGCCTGCTTAGAGCTAAGGACTCAACCATCATTTATTCTAAGCATCTTGAAATTTCATGAGTCATTGCATTCTTCACAGTTCACTGAAAAGAAAAACTTGAGTTTGAGAGTACTGTTTACCTATAGGTATACACTAATATTTAGGGTTCAGATTGGTACCATGATATTTCCAAACCAGTGGCCACACAGATGATCCTGGTTAAAATCACTGAGGCACAAAACAAAACAAAAAAGCATGAATATGGGAATAAGAGCTGTGGGGAAGAGTGAGGTTGACAGAGAGATTAAAAAAAAAGAAAGGAAGTAAACACGATATACTAAATATGTGTATAAAATTGTCAAAAAACAAATTGAATGAATAAAAAGGAACAAATAAAAGACAAAGGGCAAGGGAGCTAATACCATTCTGAATATTAACTCATTCTTAGTGAAAAAGTCTAAGGAAAACAAAAAGATTGGTATCCAGAGTGTGTAAAAAATATTCCAGTAAGAAAGACAAATAGCTGAGTTCCCAAATTAGCAAACAACACAAAAAGGCTATCCACAGAAGAAGAAACAAATAGCCAACAAAATATTCTACCTCAGCTAAGGAAGTGCAGATTAAATTCATGATCAAAACAGCACTTTGTACCAGTTAGATTGGCCAAAGTCAATACGTTGACAAAACCAAATGGGAAAAAAGTTGTAGAGAAACAAGAATTCTCATGTTTCTGTTGGGAATGCAAATTGGTACTGCTCTTCAAGAGAGCCCAGAAATTTTTGTACACTTACCAGGAGATATGTACAAAACGATTCATTATAGCACTGATTGTGAAAAGTGAGAAATGTGCTTAGTATTCCTCCAGAGGGGATAAATACACATTCCTATAACAGAATGCTTCTCTAGAGAAGATGTATAAGCCAGAACAACCTGGAGAAACCTTTAAATATGTTTTTTTGAGTCAGAGATGGCCAATGACTCAAACAAAACCATTGCTATAAAAGTAACACCTTCCAATTTATGAATATACATGTTTGTATAAAATAAAATATAAAAAAATTAATTGACAAATACCCAAGTCAGTATGGTACTCTCCAAAGAAAAGGGGTCAGATAAACAAAAGAGCTTGTAATTGTTAGGTTTTGTCCTGTATGTGTGTGGAGGGATGTGGGTGAACATGTGTGTACATATTTGTGGTATGCATAGGTGTACACGGGTGTTCATGCCCATGTGTACATATGCGTGCAGAAGCCAGAGGTCAGTATCAGGTGTCTTTTGCAGTCACTTTCCACCTAGGTTTTTGGCAGGGTCTCTCACTAAACCAGGAGCTCAGTTTGCTCATTCATATAGGTGACTAGCCAGTAAGCCCAGGACCCTCTGTCTCCACCTCTCCAGTGCTGGGATTACAGGAGCATGCCTCTATCTTCAGCTTTTGGTTTTTTGTGGGTATTGGGGATCAAACTCAAATCTCATATTTGGAGGATACTTTAGCAACTGAGTCATATTTTCAATCCCTGTTATGTTTTATTTTCTTAAAATAAAAATTTAAATGTAAAATATCAAAGTAACTTATTCAATATCTTCATATCATTATTACTCAGATTTAATAACTATGCATGCTTCTAAAACAGCAATAGTTTTCACACACATAGACACATGCATGCATGCTTAGGCACCCAAGTACACAAGTCTATACCCACACATATAACACATTCACACAGAAAAAAATAATAAAAAAATTTTTTTTAAAGAAATTGATTTTTTTTCTTCTCTGCTGGGGATTAAACCTCTGTTCTTGTATGTGCACTCTACCACTGAGTCACATACCCACCACTTCTCATCTTAGTTCTGAAAGTTCTGTGGCCCTCTGCTCATTTGCAGAGATTGAATCTGCATATAATTGACATTTAATAAATGCTTGCTTATAAGACCCGGCAGGTTGACATTGGCCCAAGTGAAATATTGTGTCAGGACCCAGCTGTCACAGAATACCTGATGGGACTCTGTCTTCCAGAACTAGAGTCTGTTTACAGAGCTGACTCCACCCCAGAACACCAGCCAGATTCCTCTTGGCCCTGTATTGTAATCTGTGGATAGAGCATGGGCAAGTTCCTCAATGTGGAAAAAAAAAAAGAGGAGCCATTATTTCTACCACTTCTGCTACCTTTGCTCTTGGTTCTCTCCTTAGTCACTGGCTGCACTATAAATAATGATGACCAAACCTTCCTATCTGCCACCCTTCACCACCAGTCGTTCTTCACTGCACCTCACCATCTGCGTTTGTCTTGCTGACCGGGCTAGGCTTAATAAGGTCCAGATCTGATGAGAAACCAAGTCTCTGGAAAACCATTCATAATCCTAGCATCCACTTAGTGTAGTGTTTCAAGTATTCTTCAGATATTATCTATCTTGTTTCACGTGTGTAATAATTCTTTGTACTGTTGTTGCCTCTGGCTTACATGTGAGATGCAAGAGGGGGATACTTTAATCTATAGACATTTTCCACCATACAATCAGGTGGCACAACGATGAGATTTATGTCAAAAGTTCTGTCCTAATTTCCTGCTTCATAACAAGGCTTAGCAAACGTTTGTTGAATGAATGAAGGAGGGGCTATTACTGGTATATACTGTGTGGGTAGTGAAGTTTGAGTTCCAAGAATAACAGAAAACATAAATATGCCAGGAACCTTGTTGTGTGCCTAGTGGTCACTGCTATCAACTATCTGACTTTCCTTCTACTTCGTATTTTCTGATTCCACAACCAAAATGACTGTCTGATTGAATAACTCTAAAAGGTCATAATGAATTATTCTGTAATACTTGAAATGTTATGCTCAGAAAGGTCACCTTTTTTTTTTTTTTTTTTTTTTTAGTATGAAGTGTCATACCGATTTTTCCCCCCTCTAACTGAGCACTTTTTTTTTTTCCTTCAAAGTAAAGATGGCAGGAAATTTAGAGCAGGGCTCCTTCTTGAGGAAATTTAGAGCAGGGCTCCCTCTTGAGGAAATTTAGAACAGGGCGCCCTCTTGAGGAAATTTACAGCAGGGTGCCCTCTTGGGGAACTTTCTTGTCTTCTTAGAGCTGATATAGTAAAATAGAAGCCAGGCAAGTCTTTTGAGCTGGGGAAAAAAAAAAAAAAAAAAAAAAAAAAAAAAACTAGGATCAATGAAGCTTTAAAAAGCAAAAAGAACCAAATACCAATTATTTGAGAATTAAGACTCTTCATCTGATCTCACATAACAGCTATAAATAGGATTTTTTTAAAGTGAAAACAGAAATACAGGAGCTATTTCATTTCTTCATGCTCACTGCATCATAGAATTTACTTATATTTATCAAGTACTTGGTTTGTACCAGGAACTCTACTGGGTACAGTAGCCCATGAAACACAGCCTTGCTTCTTGAAGCTTACTGTCTGTGAGGGCGATGACAGTGAAAAGGTCATATAAAGAGTTATGTGTTAGAGTAATCTAATGAACCCTTTTGGGCAACCACTCAATACTCTATATATTGATGCCACTAGATAGTAATTTGGAAAATACACACAACCATAAAATGTAAAAAATGAACCCCCAAAATAGCCTCTTGGTAAATTACTTTTGTGATAAGGGAGAAAACTGAGTATAATATAGTGTATATTGAAGCATTTTTATAATAGATATTTATAATTTAATGTATTAGTGTCTACATATCCAGCAATAATAGACTCGCATTCTAAACACCTAACAATAATGATCTGGTTATATAAAATACATTACATCACCCAATAAGTGTTGGCCAGCCACTGTGTAAATTATGTGTGTTCAAAAGTGATCAAGAGAAACAGGAAAACCTAAAGCAACCACACTATCTTAGTGTAGTGATGTTATAATTTTTCCTTTTATTAACTGTTTTGCATGGTATACTTTGTGAAGGTGGTTAAAATACTGAAAACATTTCAAAGGTATTTACAAACTGGTTACAAAGTAAATTCTTAATCTCTCTTTGTTTTCATCTAGGGAAATTACCGCTTTATGAAACTCTTGCTTACACGCAGAGCAAACTGGATGCAGAAGGATCTAGAAGAGATGACACCTTTGCACCTGACTACCCGGCATAAGAGCCCCAAGTGTTTAGCCCTTCTGCTGAAGTTTATGGCCCCTGGGGAAGTGGATACACAGGACAAAAACAAGGTAATGTACAATCAAGGTCAAAGACAAGTGGAAAAAGAAAGGGGGATGTTTTATGATGTGAAGCTTCAGGAAAGAAAGCATACATTGCCACCATTCCTATGGGAGGGCAACTACACATGACCAGAAATCCAGCATCTCCTAAAGGTCCGTCATTATCCTGCTAGACACTACATGGTAGGTAGGATCACCCTTTGAAGGGTGGGGAATCTGAAACTCAGAAGGATTAAAGTTTGCCCAATGCCCAAGTGGCAAAACTAGAATCAAAACCCAGGCCTGTTCAACTGTAAAAGATTTTCTAACATTTGTCAGAAACTCATCACAGTCCCTGTGGGCACCTGGGTCCACAGTGGCATCCGCCCATGCAGTGCACTGATCATAGAGCATCTGGACTCATGGTGGCCACCTGCCAGTGCAATGCACTAAGCATGCAATGACTTTTGTCGCTGAGCTGTTGACAGCATCCTCCTTGGACTCTAATCCAAAAGCCACCACTTACTCATTCTGTGTTCTGTGGGGGAATTACTTAATTCATTTATGTCATGATTTTAAAATACAGGAAAAAGATAACTGAAGGTAAAATGAGGTAATACAGATAAAGTGCTTAACACAGTGCCTCATGCAGGATACACTCCTCATAAATGTTTACCATAAAACAATTACTAATAGCATTTCTGTTCTGACATTTGCCCTCTCACTTCTTGCTAGATTTTTTTTTAACTGGCCTTGCCCTTAAATTTAGAAGATTTCCTACACTGCTCATTGCTTTGCTTGTCCTTCTTTACAGGAAAAAAAAAATGTGGTCATTTGTTAGACACAGACAGTAATCCTTTTCCTTCCACTGTGGGCTAGGCCATAGTCTTGTTAACACCAATGACCCAATGGTTAAAATCCTTACAATAATTATTCTTACTACTATTAGTTTTTAAACCCTTCATTGTGACCCATGTGATGTGGGTGCTGGGAACTGAAGTCCAGTCCTCTGCAAGGGAGTGGGTACTTTCAACTGCTAAGCCGTCTCTCTAGCCCTCCTCTGTCCTATTTTACTCTCATACTGTTCTCTATGTAGTTTTGATTTTTCTCTAGTTGTCAGTTGGAAGATCAACGTTTACTTTGAAACCATGCATTAATAGTTTCCCCCTCACAGCACCTGAGTGATAGCATTTTGCTAAATGATCAACTTTATTTTATGGCTATTGTACCACAGCAAAAATAAATAGAAAAATAGAAAAGAAGTATAAAATATAAGTAGAAACCATTTACTCTTGGGCTAAAGTCTTATATTTGAGTGCATATAACCTGAATAATCATAACCTAGGAAAAGGAAGGAATTACAGATGCCATCTGTGTTTATTAAAAAGGTGGTTATAATTTATTAATGATTGCTATTAAGTATAATTTTTCTGTGACCTTCAGTCATTACTGAAAATAGCAATGAGTTGGGGCTGGAGAGATGACTCAGCAGTCAAGAGCACTCGATGCTCTTACAAAGGGTCTGAGTTCGATTCCCAGCACCCACACCAGGCAGCTCACAGAAGCCTGTAATTCTAGCTCCGAGGAATCTGGCACTCTGCTATAACCTCCTGGAGTTCACTGAGCTCAGAAAGTAAATAAATATAAAATGAATCTTTTAAAAAATAATGTATTAATGATGAGCATTAATAATATAATGAAGACCTACAAGTGTACTTTGAATGAATACCATAATATTAGTTTTTCAGATTTTCATGATGAATGAGCTTGGTCCCCACTCAGTATATTATCCAATTTCAAATGGATTGCTGAGTGACAGAGAGGCTCTAATGTACATCTAAGCATCTCTGGTTCTTCCATGGTAACTCTCCCCATAGGAGGCATGTCAATGGCAGTGGCAAAAGTGGTTTTCAAGCAATTTCACTGCATCCAGAATTACCACTTTAAACTTTTATTTCAAATAAAGAAAATGCATGCATAGTTCTTATCTTTTTATCAGTAGCTTCATTTAGCTTTTAGTATGTAAAATTATTCTTAAATTTAAATGATTTAAATGTGCAGTGCTAAAGGAGTCCAGATCTGTGAGTTGCCTGTGGCATACTCTCTGATAAACTGTCTGGCCCTGGGCTTTTTAAGGTGGGAGACTTTTAATAATTGCTTCTAATTCACTAGAGGTTATAGGTCTACTTAAGTTGATTATCTGATGTTGATTTAACTTTGGTAATGGTATCTATGAATAAAATTATCCATTTCCTTTAGATTTTCCAATTTTGTGGAATGCTGGTTTTGTTTGAAAGTATGACCTAATGATTCTTTGGATTTCCTCAGTGTCTATTGTTTGTCCCCCTTTTTGTTTCTGATTTTGTTAATTTGGATATTCTCTCTCCATCTTTTAGAGTTTGGATAAGGGTTTGTCTATCTTGTTTATTCTCTCAAAGTACCAACTCTTTGTTTCATTGATTCTTTTTATTGTTCTCTAATTTCTATTTTATTGATTTAGCCCTCAGTTTGATTATTTCCTGCCATCTACTCCTCTTGGGTGAGCTTGTTTCTTTTCGTTCTAGGGCTTTCCGGTGTGCTGCTAAGTGACCAGTATGAGACCTCTCCAGTTTCTTTATGCAGGCACTTTGTGCTATGAACTTTCTTCTTGGCACAATTTTCATTGTGTCCCATAAGTTTGGGTATGTTGTGCATTCATTTCCATTGAATTCTAGGAAGTCTTTAATTTCTTTCTCTGTTTTTGTCTTGACCCAGTAGTCATTCAGTAGAGTATTGCTCAGTTTCCATGAGTTTATAGGTGTTCTATTGTTTTTATTGTTGTTGAAATCCAGTTTTAGTCCATGGTGGTCTGATAGGATGCAGGGAATTGTTTCAGTTTTATTATATCTGTTGAGACTTAATTTGTGACTAAATATGCGACTAGTTTTGGAGAATGTTCTATGAGGTGCTGAGAAGAAGGTATATTCTTTTTGGGTGAAATTTTGTGTGTGTGTGTGTGTGTGTGTGTGTGTGTGTGTGTGTGTGTGTGTGTGTGTGTGTTATATAACTGATGGTTTATAACACCAGTTAGCTTCAGTATTTCTCTGTTTGGGTTTTGTCTGGATGACCAGTCCACTGAGATTTGGGTATTGAAGTCTCTCAATATCAATATGTGAGGGGCAATGTGTGATTTAAGCTTTAGTGATGTTTGCTTCAAAAATATGGGTGCCCTTTGTTTTTGGCATAAATGTTCAGATTTGAAAGACATCTTGGTGGGTCTTTCCTTTGATGAATATGAAATGTCCTTCTCCATCTCTTTTGATTATTTTTTGTTTGAAGTCTATGTTGTTAGATATTAGGATGGCTACACATTTGTTTCTTAGGTACATTTGCTTGGAAAATCTTTTTCCAACCCTTTACTCTGAGGTAGTGCCTATTTTTGATATTGAAATGTATTTCTTGTATGCCACAGAAAGATGGATCCTATTTTTGCATCATTCTGTTAGGCTGTCTTTTTATTGGGGAATGGAGTCCATTGATATTGAGAAATATTAATGACCATTAATTATTAATTGCTGCTATTTTAGTGGTGGTGGTGGTGGTATATGTATGAGTGTGCATGAGTGTTTGTATAATTCCGTTTTCTTTTCTTTTTTTTTTTTTAACTGGGAATGGATTATTTCCTCTGTTTTTATGAGTGTAGTTAATCTCCTTGGGTTGGAGTTTTCCTTCTAGCACCTTCTGTAGGGCTGGATTTGTAGATACTGTTTAAATATGTCTTTATTATGGAATATCTTTTCTCTGTCTGTGGAGATTGCCAGTTTTTCTGGATATAATAGTCTTAGAGTCTGCTGTCCAGGCCCTCCTGGCTTTTAAAGGTTCAGCTGAGAAGTCAGGTGTTATTCTAACATGTCTGCCTTTATATATTACTTGCTCTTTTATCCTTGATGCTTTTAACATTATTTATTTGTTCTGTATTAGTGTTTTGATTATTGTATGGTGAGGGGACTTTTTCTTTTGGCCCAGTCTATTTTGTGTTCTGTATACTTCTTGTACCTTTATAGGTATTCCTTCTTTAGGTTAGGAAAATTTTCTTCTATGATTTTGTTAAAAAATATTTTTTTGTGCCTTTGAGCTGGGATTCTTCTCCTTCTTCTGTTCCTGTTATTCTTGTTTTGTTTTTTCATAGTGCCCCAGATTTCCTGAATGTTTTGTGGAGATTTTTTAGATTTAACATTTTCTTTGACCAATGTTTCTATTTCTTCTATTGTGTTTTCAATGCCTAGATTCTTTCTTCCATCTCTTGTATTCTATGATGCTTGTGTCTGTAGTTCCTATTTTCTTACCTAGATTTTAATCTTTATTGCTTCTATTTCCATTTTCAGGTCTTGAAAACTTTTTTCATTTCCTTCAACTGTTTGTTTTTTCTTGGCTTTCTTTAAGGGATTTATTTATTTCCTCCAATTTGTGTGTGTGTGTGTGTTTGTTTCCTCAATTTCTTTAAAGGATTTATTCATTTCCTTTTTAATGACCTTTATCATCTTTATAAAGTTTGTTTTAAGGTTGTTTTCTTGTGTGTCAGCTGTGTTGAAATATTCAGGGCTTACTGAAGTAGGATAGCTGGGCTCTGGTGGTGACATATTGCCCTGGCTGTTGTTGTGGTCTTACACTGGTGTTTAGGCATCTAGGTTTGGGGTGATTAAAGATCTAATTTCTGAGTTTATCTTTGTTGGATGAGTGGGGTTTCCATTGGTTTCTGTTTCCTCTCTGGTCTTTTGGCCTGAGTGGCCTGTGTTTGAGAAAGAGTCTATCAGAGTTGGGGGATGGAACTCTGGCATCTGGTGGTACAGGGTGCTTCCTTTGGAGTTGTGGGCCTGAATATGGTGATGAGGGGAGGGTGGCTGTTGGGGAAATAGGCTGGGTGGGCTCTGAGGGAGTGTTGGTAGTCTGCAGAAGGGAGTCTTACCTGGGGTTTTGGGTGCCAGTGTGACCTTGGTAAAGTAGAGGAGAAGAGGCTGTTGGTGGTTGGCTGGGCAGGCTCTGAGAGAGTGTCCTGATGTCTCTTAAGCCATGCCTGTCACATAGTAGATGTTCTAGAAGAGTAGGCCATGAGGTTGTCTTTTTTTATTGCCTCTCTACCTTGCAGCAAACAGCTTTGCACTGGAGTGCCTACTATAACAACCCAGAGCATGCAAAGCTGCTCATCAAGCATGACTCCAACATTGGAATTCCTGACATGGAAGGCAAGATCCCACTCCACTGGGCAGCCAACCACAAAGACCCGAGTGCTGTGCATACAGTGAGATGCATCCTGGTAGGTAGAATGTGTAGACCCAAAAGCCCATTTTAGGAAAAAAGAATCTAATAGGTACAAAAGCATTAATGTGAGAGACAGGAGATGATGAAGCAAGAATATCAACGTGTGGACTCATCATCCCCCAAGAGACAGAGCATCACAATAACTATTACTCCACTGAGGTTTCCTGTTAACCAACCCCCACCACCACCAACCACTTCCAGAGTTGATATTTCTCATTCCCTGCTTTTTTTTAATCCTTTAATTTTCAATTTTGTGTGTGTGTGTATGCATGTGAATATGTGTGTGTGTGTGTGTGTGTGTGTGTGTGTGGTGTGTATTATGTGAAGTGTGTATATGTGTGTGTATTATGTGAAGTGTGTGTTTGTGTGTGTGTGTTATGTGAAGTGTGTGTGTGTGTGTGTGTGTATGTGTGTGTGTGTGTGTGTGTGTGTGATGAATGTACATTAGTACTCAGGTGTACACCAAGGCCAAAACAAGGCATTGGGGCTCATCCTCTCTGCCTGTGACCCTGAGGCAGCCTCTCTCACTGAGCCTGAAGCTCTGGGCTTCAGCTAGGCTGGCTGACTAGCCAGACAGCTCTCAGGATCTGAGTGTCTCTGTACCAGTGCCCGACTCACAAGCTCTCACAGCCAAACTTGGCCTTTTACCTCCCTCCAGTGCTTCCCCCAACCTGATCTTCTGTTTTCTCACGCTCACAACCTTAATTTCTCTAATTATTGCTATCTTGCTCTTGAAAACTGGTTTTCTTTATGCACAGTCCTAGATACTTATTTTTCTATTGTTCATTTTATACTGTTTTACCACTTTCTGCCTTTTTTCATTGTTCTTGCAAGTCAAGTGTGTTGCTGTCTTATTGGTCAGTCCTTTGGAAGGTGATCTGTATTTTCATTCTAGCTGTTTTTAATTCTTTATATTTGATATTTTATAGTTCCATTGCAATGTGTCTAGAATTTTAGAATGTTTTTTTATAATCCTGTTTGCTGGGCAGGGTAGCACATGCCTATAGTCCCAGCAGGTGGGCAGGAAGATCAGGAGTTCATAGTGAGTTTAAAACAGCCTGAGCTTGAAAACCCTGTCTCAAAAAACAAACAAACAAGTTCTTTTTGGAGCTGGGCTCAGTGATACATTCCTGCAGTCTCAACATTCAAGAGGTTAAAGCCAAAGATCCTGAGTTCAAGTTCAGTATGCGCTACATAGCTAGACCCTATCTCAGAACAATAATAGGGCCAGCAAGGTGGCTCAGTGGAGAAAGGCAACTTGCCACCAAGCCTAAGAACCTGAGTTGGATCCCTGAGAACCCATATTTATATTCTGATTATTGAATCTTATTTTTAGAAAACAAATAGCTGTTACATGTTTGCATTTCTCCACTGTTGCCTTTTGAGTCTCTAGTTATATGTCTTTGGGGCTTTTTCATTTGATTCATTATGTCTCCTAATTTCCTTTTATATTCTCATGTTTGCTTCTCAGTTAACTAAGTCTCTCTTCAGCTGAGTCTCATCAGTTGTTTACCCTGTCCATTGAACATTTGATCTTAGTCATTACACTCTTCACATCTGAAAGCCCTTTGGTGTGTTCATACCATTCTGGTCATTGTGATCATTTTTATTTTCGCTCACTTTCCATCACAACTTTTATTTTCTTACAGATTTCATAGTACTTCATATAAACACACCTTACTTTGAGAGCCTAGGCATATCCAACCTTTGATGCCACTGCCAGCTAAAAGTTAATGATCAAGAACCTTGCAATTGAGTTACAATAAATAAATAAATAAGTAAATAAATAAATAAATAAATAATCTCTTGATGTTTTAAGTAAACACACTTTTTATTTTGGGGAGAGGGCTGGATACATCTGTAGCTGTCCTGGGGCATAGGCAGTCCATGGCTGCAGGTTGGACACACCTCAGGTCCTTTGTTGGTAAAATGAGCTGACTACATAAGAAGCTGTAAATCTAGGATGGCCCTTCCATGGTCAAATTGAAGCAACTGGACTTGGCCCTGGGTGTGACCTAACCTGAGAAGGAATTCTGGGTGAGGAAACTCCTTAGTTGAAACTGTTCCAAGAAGCAGAGACATGAGGGTCCTGGGCTGATAGTGTCCCTGGCAGCTGAGGAATAAGGCTTTTAATGCCTAAGAGAGAGTTAAGATGTATATCATAATGTCTGTTGCAAAAATCCAGCAAAAGAATGCCTAAGTGTGGTGAACTGTCAACTTACAGAAAATCAAACAGAATACTATCAACAGAGAAGTACATTTTTCAGCCTCATTCATAAAAGCACTTCAAATTAAACATCAGGGAAATGTTTTTCAGCCTCATTCTAGGAATAACATGTAGAAAGCTTGACAATACCAAGTGATTAATCTGTGCCAGCATGTGGGAAATAAGCACTTTGAATATTGTCACAGGTGTGTTCATTGGTCCGAGAATTTGGAAAGTAGCTTGACAATATGCAGTGGAAGGTGCAAAACTCCTTCAACCAGCAATGCTTATTTCCATGTGTAGCAAAGAGAGAAATCTCGCACATTGTGTTGCAAGAAATATGTGAGGAATATGTGATTGTGAAAAAAAAGTGGAAATAACTTTACTGTCCTTCAGGAGAAAAATGGGCAGCTAAATCCAAGTTTAACAAATGGACTAGAATCAACAAAGATACAAATGTATGTAGGAGGTAAGAGTTGCCGAAGAGATTACCTGTGCTTCCACGATGTAAATATCCAAAGCATGTGTGCAAAATGTATGTTGTTTAGGGGTGACTACATGTGTATATAAGTAAAAATAAATAAATAAATAAATAACCCACAGCTTTAGCCTAATTCACAACAGACACCAAAGCACTTTAGGTAAAGTGTCACACCTCTTAATGCAAGCATGGTGGTTACTCTCTTCTTGTCTGTATTTTTATATTATTAATATAGGAAAGTTAATTGTTAAAGATTTAGCCCATATACTCAATGTATCATTTTACTTGTGACTATAGAGAATGTGGAGGTTTTGTTTTAAGAAATAGTTAATGTGCATGCCACATACTATTTATTGAGGATTCCACATGTGTCTGATGTCTCTGGTTCTTAAAAATAGGATGCTGCTCCAACAGAGTCTTTATTGAACTGGCAAGACTACGAGGGCCGCACACCTCTTCACTTTGCAGTGGCCGATGGAAACCTAACAGTGGTGGATGTCTTGACCTCCTATGAAAGCTGCAACATAACATCTTACGATAACTTATTTCGAACGCCACTTCACTGGGCAGCCTTACTAGGTATGTTCTGCTGTAAGTCAGAGGATCAGTGGGAGGAAAGACTGCCCAGCTACAGAAGTCCTGTGCCTCCACATCTCCTGTGGGCTCCCTCATCTTGTTTAAACGTTTTCATAGCAGATTGATATGCTCAATTATTTCATAACCTGGCTCCTTCTGCTGCATGCTTTCAATGTGATAATATAAGTTCATTCCCTATTAAATACTGGTTTTTATTTCAATATCATGTCATAAGTTTTTAACTTTTATTATAAAGGAATTAAAATTCATTGACAAGATATGAATAAAATGTAACCTATCTTCACATCTGTGGCTATTATGTGGGCAAAGGAGGGCATTCATTTGATGCTTGTATTCAGTCCTTGATATGAGAGAGCAAGTATGTGTTTGATATGAATGGTGGTGTCAGATTATTTGAAGGAGTACAACCTGGGAATTTTTTTCTTTTATGAAGTACTTTAACCACTTATAGTCATCATTTAAAAAGTAATATTTTTTTCTACTTTTGTGGTATGACTAGTATTTTCAGAGGGGTTTTTCTTCATCTTTCCTGCCCTTTGTTTCTGCCTTCTGCCACATACAGTACCTGTGCTCACCTGGTGTTCCAGGTGGCAATGTACATTCAGTTGTGATCGCTTCAGTCTCTCAAAATCATGTTTATCCATGAGTCAGAGTAAAAAGCAAGACCTCCTACTCATTAAGGCAGCTGTGCCCTTTCTCCTCACTACTCCTTTAATGTTTGCTAACAGTCTGAGGGTCCGCTCAGTTGTGAATATCTTGGTCTTAGTTTTAAGTTGCACACCGTCCATTTTAAAGTGATTGCCATACATGCATACAGCATTTAGGTCACATTTGTAATTGTTATTTAGACTTCCTTTCAATGTGTGTTTCATCCCTTTCCTTCTTCCTCTAGAATGTGAGCGTATTTCACAAATTTGCTTTCACTTCACTAAATGCATTTTGTTCTAAAACTTCTGGTTTTATTATTCCTACTACGTGGATTCTCATTTCAACTGTATCTGCATTCCCATCTTCCTCCTATTTTTCTTTTTAACCTCGTTTTATTTCCTTTTATTCCTTTCATCATCCTTTTCTGTCCTCCCTTTTTTCCTAGAAGCCATCTCTTTCTGAACTAAATTGAAGATGCCTAACAGTTTCTCAACTTTGCTCTGGGCCTTCTTGAGACCATCCCTAAGGTATGCTCTTTATCATCCCAATGCCAATTCTCTTTCCCTACCCTGTAGTATGCTTTTCTCATGTCTTTACTGAATTTTTCTCTCTGCTCCTCAACCAAAATGAGATGTGTTTGCGTTGATGTTCTTGCATGGATTGTCATCAGGCCTGTATTTGGATTAGGAAGACACTATCTTAAACCACACATGTGGAGGGAGTAGATGAGCACAAGCCCCAGGCAGACACCTATCCCTGGCTTCTACCCAGCACAGCCTTGTTCAAAGGGCTACTCCACAGTGGCATCCCCTTCCTTCCTGGTTCCCCACATGCTCTGTTAGAGATATAAAAGGCTTTCCTAGGTTTGTTAGCCCTCTGTCTTGTGCTGTGCTGTTGTGGTTGTTGAGACAAGATAACCAGATAACCTAGCACTTTTTCAGTAGCACAGTCTGGTCTGTTTTTCAGTCCTCCTGCCTGAGCCTTGGAGAGCAGAGTTTACAGGCACACACTGTCACAGCCAGCTTGTTAATTCTTTGGCACCATGTACAACTCCTCCTTCATATAAACCACAACATACTACTAGCCCACCACTGCTTCACAATACCTGCTCCCTCTTTTTCTGAATTTGAAATTACTACCTTCATATTAAAAGACTAGGGGAGAGACATTGGCAGGATAGTTAGAAGGCCTCAGAGGCAGATGAAGTTCATTTCAGTTAGTTCAACTGAGGAGGGAACTGATGTTCAGTTCTGGTGGACCAGAAAGCAGAGCCTTGACATGCTGGATAGTGAAGTCAAGAAGCCCAAGAGGCAGTCCCTAAGCCTGGCACGTCTTACCACCATGCTTTTCCTCCTAATGAGGCCCTCTGTTTTCAGTGTCTTAAGCTTCACCAGCTTTCCACTCTGTGACTGTATGCAGGGGAGAAGGTGGAAAAGACTGTACTATGAACTGTTTGAAACCATTTTAAATGCTCTTGAATGCTAATGATTTTTTCTTACCTTCTTTCTTTTAAATGGATTAAAAATAGACGTACCCCTTTGTGTGAGATAACTACCTTTTATCTGTTCTCAGGCCATGCACAGATTGTCCATCTCCTTTTAGAAAGAAACAAGTCTGGAACTATCCCTTCCGACAGCCAAGGAGCAACACCCTTGCACTATGCAGCTCAGAGTAACTTTGCTGTAAGTTATGATTCCCTTTTCTCTTAATAAAATGCTTTTATTTTGATATAACTGTAGATTCATATGCAGTTATAAGAAATAATATGCCATTATCCCTGGCTCCCTTCAATTAGCCTATACTAATGATAGACAGATACAGTACTACAAACAGGAGGTTGACACTGAGCTGGTTCAAATTGCACCAGTTTGATGGACATACAGGTATCCAGGTTGATGGATTGTTCACACTGCCAGCACCATGATGCAGATGATGGGTCTGTTTTTATAAGGTTGTTAGTCACTTGCAAGATCATGCAGCTTTATTTAAACACTTGGTGTAATTTTTTACTTTATAATAAATGTATTGTATCATTCTGTGACTATTATAGCGCTAGGGACATCTTAGTGTTCAGGAAAGCAATGCAACAAGGCTTTGGAGCTGGAAAAACAAACTCCTGGAATCCCACCTGTGCAGACTGCTAGCTGTGTGACCTTACACAACTTTCTTAGCCTCTCTGACTCTTCACTTTTCATAGATAATATGAGGACTGCTGGAAAGATTAGAGCAAATTTGTGACAAGTGTCTATTGCACCTGGTATCGAGCAGGTATCCACACAGACCTTATTCCTGTGGATTGTGTACATGTGAGAGCAGGTGTCCAAACACAGACTACATTCATACAATTCATACAAATGATTATGAATTGTATACATTGAGAAGGCCACATTGTGAATTATTGTTTCTAGAAATCCTGAGTGTTATCAATAATTCTTCCCTGGTTGTCCTTCATGGATCACAAAGAGTATTCTTGTCCTTTGTGGCTGGGCTCTCTCTATGCATGATGGTGTGTAGGCAGGCTGACATAGAGACATTAAGAGGCCACAGTTGGTTTTCTGTCTTCATCATGGGTTGAGCCTTCATCAGTAGTTCTGGCCTGGGCAGAGCATAGTTCCCACTTCTTGACCTCAGTGTTCTGCTGAACGTCTCATTTTAATCCCCTTCTTACTCTCTGAAGAAGTCTGTTTGATCCTATCTTATCTACTAATGATTCTCTTCCCTTTCTTTTAATTAGGCCATAAACTTATGGGTGTCCTTTCTCTGTGGCAAGTACATTGTGTGTTTGCCCTTGGGCTGGTCACAGGCTGTCTGTATACTTACAATCGTTCCTTCTTGGCCTCCCTAAAACTTTACTCAGTGGGCCACCTAGAACTTTGACAAGCCATTATCTTTTATTGTCTTGGAGAAGTAGTTATTTCTTATTACAGACAATAAAGTCATGTGGCTCAAGTTGATGGGTATATGGAAATGAAAACTAAGTACATAATTCAACACACCCTGTGAGGTAGGTCATGACATACTTACAGGCTCTGAGAGATAAAATGGCCCGCCCATGATCTTGAACCAGATGTCAGACTCCAGCTTTAATACAGATACCACTAATTAAATAATGTATCAGTGGGAACAAAAGAAAATGAGGGCACATCACAGATGTTTGATTTAGATGGTCTATCATTTCCAGAGTTGATTTTAATAATTATGCACATTTTCTAAGCTCTATTTCAAGCCTATTGATTACTTTAGCCTAGCCTCTTTTAACTCCACCTAAGTTTGCTATTTTCTTTTTGAAAAACACTAAAAAAACAAACAAAATCAGGAAATAGTTGTAAATTAGGAAGCCATGTCACTCCTTGGACAGATGGCTGGGATTTCCTGTCTCTGTACCTGCTGCCAATATCCATGTGGTTGAGAGCCTACACTTCTTCCAGAGTAAAACGAGGACTAAATCAGATGAGCCTTTAAAGTTATTCTTTTCTTATTATTGTATGTGTCAAGGGGGGGTTGTCTATAGGTATATGTGTGTACCATGTGATTGCCTGTTTCCCATGGAGGGCAGAGTAGGGCATCATCTAGGAGGAGAGTTACTGACACTTTCAAGCCTCAGTCCAGGTACTGGAAATTAAACCCAGAAATTAGTGCTCTTGACTGCTGGGCTATCTCTCCAGCCCCTGTTCTTTCTATGAAATATTAAGAGTCAGCTACAGAAATTTCTTTCTGAAACTCTTCATATTCATTCAAGCAATAGTTTCTTGATCTTCCTAGAAAATTGAGTTTTAGAAAAGAGGTCATTTTCAACACAGTAATATTAACCCAGGTACAAGAGCTGGGAGATATGCTCAGTTACCTAGCACTTAAGCTTATTGAGCAGCAAGGCCCTGGACTTGATCCCAGCACAGAAAACAAGAATCGTTACCCAAACTTCCAGGCACAATTTGGATTGACTGTCCAGGGTCCCCATTTTTCCATTATTCCAGAGGCAGGACCTTGAGTATAGGAATAACAAAATAAATGTGTTTGAATGAATTGAATGCTGTATTTCACAGTAACTTTTGATCAATAATGAACAAATGTATTAACCATTACATTTTTGGTAATGTAATACACAGAAAGATGATCTGTTTGCCTTCTCTGGAGGCGTGCTTAAATATCTGGGTTTCTGCAGGTACAATGTACATGAAATTTTTTACTTAATGTTGGCCTAGACACCAAACGCTTTTAAGTCTTCTAATTTTCATGTCTAACAGTGCCCTTAAAAGTTTTAAAGCTTAATTAAAGAAACTCATTTTCTATTGTTTTATTCCTCTCATGTTTTGTCTTTTAAAAATTATTTGTTGTTATTTGATAGTCTCACTCACGCCCACCTTCTCCTGCTCAAAGCCTTCTTCCCAGTAACTTCCCTCCCTACTTCCATGTCTTTGTGTGCCCCACACTGGGTTTATATAGGGTTTCCTGCATGCATGAGAGGTTATCTACTGGAGCATGGGCAACTTACTACAGTCACACTAATGAGGAGAGTGACACTTGTTCCCCCAGTCACCACTGACTGTCAGTAGTCCCTCAGAGAGGGGTGGGGCCTCACAGGCCCTTCTTTCTTCACGATGAAATGTTGACAGGCCCAGTCCTGGGCTGGCAACCGCAGCAGCAGTGAATTCACGCATCCATCAGCCTTTGTCATGCCCAGAAGACATTGCTGGGCAGCAGCCCTTCCCAACCCCTGCCTCTTTCTACCTCTCCTTTGCCATTGTTCCCTGGGGGAGGGGGCCAGTCATCATTCTCAAATTAAGGATGTTGAATGAGAAAGTCAGATGTTTTTGAAGTGTTTCAGAAACTAAGACTAATGTATAAGGAAAGGAGATCATAATTTTCTATGGAAACTGAGGTTTTATTATTTATACAAAGGCATCAGGAGAAATCCTTGGCTTCTTCATGGAATCCCCTCTAGCAGGTGCTTTATTGTCATGGAGAATGCATCTCACTGCTGCTGTGTTTCAGATGAAGTTTTCTTACAGGAAACAGTTAAAGTGTTTTTAAAGCATCCTTCTGTCAAAGATGATTCCGACCTGGAAGGAAGAACATCCTTCATGTGGGCAGCAGGGAAAGGCAGTGATGACGTGCTCAGAACTATGCTCAGTTTAAAATCTGACATCGACATTAACATGGCTGACAAGTATGGAGGCACAGGTAGGAACTAGCACATGGGCTCACCCAGCTTCTGGTGCCTAAAAGTGCTATCAAGTTAGTAAGACAGTAACTTGAGATCACTGTCCCTAAAATTATATTGTTTGACCTGACTTTTTACTTTTTAAGCTTGAGTTTGCCAGTATCTTACTCCAGTATTGTGGCTAAAATAAGGTGAACATCAGCATCTGGTTTATAGCTTTGGCTGCACCTTATACACAAATAAAAACTTGTCTTAACATTCACTTTCATATAAAAAGGGTGGAAACTTGCAACGATGCTTAGTTGGGGCTGGAGAGATAGCTCAGTAGGTAAAGCCCTCATCATACAAGCTTGAGGACCAGAAAAAGTGAGTGGGCTTGGAGGCCCACCAGTAATCCCTGTGTAGGGAGGTGGAGACAAGGGAACCACAGAGAAAGCTGGCAGCCTGAGTAGCTAAAAAGGTGACCTCCAGAGTCAGTGAGAGACCCTGCCTCAATATGCGAGTAGAGCACAATCAAGGAAGACACCAGTGTCAACTTAGGTGCTCAACACGTGTGCACACACATGTGTATACACCTGAACACATACATACCTATGCAAAAAACTGCATATATATTAGCTACTAACATTTCAAAATATGTTTTAAGGGATGCACATATCTGAATGTATTCTCAAGTCTCATTTTTTATGCTCTTTTCTCAAGTTAGAGTAGCATGATTCCATATTGATGGGCCATGTAAGAGAGAACTTCCTGTAACTCTAGAACCTTCCCTGCTTCACAGCCTCCCATCAGTTCTTACCAGACCCTTGCTTTAATTTATCTCTATTAAAAGAGCCTATCACTATGTGTTGGTTACTAAGAAGCATGGTTTTTAGCATCCAGTGTGAACACAAAGTCTCTTCTTTGTCTGAAATCCCAAAAGGAAAAGAAAATCTCCAGCACAACACTAAGTACAACCAGGCCCCTCACTATCCACGCACCTACCCACAGCAGCAAGTATATGCCCAGAGAGAGAGGGGGGGGAGGGAGGGAGGGAGGGAGGGAGGGAGGGAGGGAGGGAGGGAGGGAGGGAGGGAGGGAGAGAGAGAGAGAGATTTGGATTGCATTTAGCCACAAGAAGGTAGAAATTCTAAAAGGAAGAAAGAAAAGCATATTTAAGTTAAAAAAGATAAAGCTATTTTATTTTGAAAGTGTATCAGTTGTTTGGCTTCTTTTTAGCTTTACATGCTGCTGCCCTTTCTGGCCATGTCAGCACTGTGAAGTTATTATTGGACAATGATGCTCAAGTAGATGCTACTGACGTCATGAAACATACTCCACTCTTCCGAGCCTGTGAGATGGGGCACAAAGATGTGATTCAGACACTTATTAAAGGTTAGTTGTTACAAGTATATCTCTTAGGTCTTCCAGGAAAGATAGGCACTCTAGCACACTTGGTGTGAAACATGGTTTCATTCATAGGCAGCAGAAAGCTGAGGAAGAGTGTCCAAGTGGTACCTTCTGCCTGTACTTGTAGCTCACCTGTTGGTGAACATTTGATTTCAGAATAATCACTTTGCCCACCCCCACCCAACCGCCAGTTTCATTTACTGAGAGTTGAGTCCCAACCTCTCCAGAACTTAAGGGCTACTCCAAAGCTCTGATGGTGTAGAATACATACAAGCTTTCAGAGGACATTGTTATGTTTTTAAGCTTCTGTTCCTTCTGATGAATGCTGTCTACATTCGACATTTTCACTGCAGTTTTGCTTTGGTAGGTGGAGCAAGGGTAGATCTGGTTGACCAAGATGGACATTCACTTCTCCACTGGGCAGCCCTGGGGGGAAATGCCGATGTCTGCCAGATACTGATAGAAAACAAGATCAACCCAAATGTGCAGGATTATGCAGGAAGAACGCCTCTTCAGTGTGCTGCATATGGAGGGTACATCAACTGCATGGCTGTGCTCATGGAAAACAACGCAGATCCCAACATCCAAGACAAAGAGGTAGAAATTTGGGCTTTCTGTGCTGCCAGCTCCATGGTGAAGAGTTTTCCTCTTCGTTATGAATTAAGTAGAACAGTTCATCACTTGGAGAGAGATGATTTTCACCTGTCAATGCTCTCTTCTAGTGCTCATCTATATTTATATATTATTCAACATTTATATACACTAGGAATACTTCTTAAAACATTTATAAAATATATGCATGTGTGTGTACATATATATGTACATGTACACATGCATGATCTTACAAATCACCTTTTGTTCACTTAAAATTAACACCAGCATTTCCTCAGCTGATATAAAATCTTTCTCATAATCATAACTGCTTAATATCCTAAAATGCCAAATGCTTTATATTCAGCAATAGTTCATTCAACCCTCACAGTCTTATCTTTCTCTTCTCTTTTCTGTTGGCAAAATAAATCATGTTGACTGAATTTTGTTCTGATGTTAAACCTGTCTTACATTTGTAGAGTAAGTCTTGCTTACAGTGTAGTATTACTATTATAAGTGAGTGGAACTTACTTACTAATATTTTAAGACTTTGTATCCTATGTTCATGATAATTTCCTTTTTTTATTACTTGTCATGTTTGTATAGGAAGGAGTTTCTGACCTTATTTTAAAAAGGGGGGGCTAGAAAATATTCCCTTTTTAGGAATTTGCATGAGATTGGTATTATGTCTTCCTTAAATATATAGTAAAAATTGGTTGTTTTTAAGTCCACTGGTCATATGAATTTTCTTAATGCATAATTGTTAATGACTGATCCAGCTTTTTAGTGGCTGTTAGACTATTCTGTTTCCTAATAGTTTTTTTTTTTCAGCTTTGGTAAGTGTACTTTGTTGAGAACTTGTCCATTTTATTCAAAATTTCAGTTGTATTTATAAAAAGTTAGTCACATCTCACTTGTCTATATTATGTTGTAGGACTTAAAATTACAACTATTTCTTCATTAATTGTTAATTGTATACATTGGTAATATGTACTATCTCTCTTGCTTTTTTTTTTTTTTTTTAAGACTTATTTTATTTATTTTATTTATTTTATGTCTGCAGTGTTCTGCCTGCAGACCTGAAGAGGGCACCAGATCTCATAATAGATGGTTGTGAGCCATCATGTGGTTGCTGGGAATTGAACTCATGACCTCTGAAAGAACAGTCAGTGCGCTTAACTTCTGAGCCATCTCTCCAGCCCCTCTGCTTTTTTTCTTTAAACTTTCACCTGTCTTTTTCAACCCTTCCAAGAACATCTGTCTTTGCTGACTTTCTGCATTTTAAGCATATCTGCTTTTTTTTAATGGAATTTACATTTATCTTTATTTCCTGCTATTCATTTTTCTTGGATTTGACTTACTCTCAATTTGGTGGGCAGGGGCTGTTTTTTAAGACAAGGTCTCATGAACCCAGGGCTGGCCTTGAGCTTATCGTATAGCCACATGTGATGTTGAACTCTAGATCCTCCCACTTCCACCTCTTGAGTCCCAAGTGCCACTATTATAGATGCTCCCTTAAAAAAAAAAAAATCTCTTAAAGACAAAGCCCCACCTTGTAACCCATTCTGGAACTTGTTATTTACCTCAGGCTGACCTCCAACTCGAGATCTTTTTGGCTCAGTCTCCTGAGAGCTGGGATGTTAGATTCTCCAGATGAAAATTTAAGTTCTTCATTATTTTTTTCAGTACTATTGTCTAATATTTGTGTGTGAGTCCAAATCCTCCAAGCCCTGCTTTAGCTGTACTGCATGAGTTTGGTCAAGTCACACCTTCACTGTCACATAGTGAGAGTACTTTCTTCTTTTTCCTTTGCTTTATTTGCTAGACTGCACATTATTTGGGACTCTATTGTTCATTTTCCAGGCACCTGGATAGTTCCTTATTCTCAACCTTAATTTAATAGATTAGTTACCTATTGCTCCTGTGACAAATTAGCACAAACATCCAACACAAATTAATTATGTCACTGTTCCACACCAGTCTTACTGGACTAAGAAACCAGTGTACCACAGGGCTGTGTTGTGGAGGCCTTGGGGAGAAGTGGGGTTTTTTGTTTTTTTTGTTTTTTTTTGTTTTTTTTTTAACTTTTCCAGCATTTAGAGGCTGCTGAAGTCATGGCCTTATTCCTCCATCATCAGAGCTGCTAAGGGCTAGCTGAGTCACTGACACCAACTCCCCACCCCTATTTCCCTCAGAAATCCCACTGTGATTACAGCAGACCCACTCAGATAGTCCAAAATGATCTGCCTCACTCAGGACAGCTGCTTTTCCATGTAGCATCACAGGTCAGGGTTCTAGAAGTTAGGGTGTGGATGTCTTTGCAGAGAAGGGTGTTATTCTTTTGAGACTTCCTGGTCCAGCAAATGGCTGATTTTGGTAAACACTACACATATGAGAAGAGTTCTAATTATGCCATTGTTTAATGTAGTGTTGTATGTCTAAATACCAATCTTCAGGTTGTGTTATTTATATCTTCTATATCATCAGTGTTCTCTTACATTATTCTAACACCAGCCATTACAAAACAAAGCAAATTACTGGGCGTGGTTCACACCTTTAATCTCAGCACTTGGGAGACAGAGGCAGGTGGATCTCTGAGTTCAAGGTCAGCCTGGTCTACAAAGCAAGTTCTAGAACACTCAGGACTGTCACATAGAGAAACCCTGTCTCGAAAAACAAAAACAAACAAACAAATAAATAAATAAAATAAAGCCACTTAAAATCTACCACTATAAAAATTAATATATATATATATAAATTTTTAAGTATTTTTCAAAAATCTATCCTTTTGATTCTGGCTTTAATTCCCTTTAATTCAGTCCATTTGTCTGATATATTTAGAAGCTGTGTTATATGTGTGCATATTTGGGCTTGTGATAGTTCCCCCACTGACTCCTTCAGCATTATAACTACCTTATTTCCCTTCTGCTGTGCTTCCCACCTTCTTTAGCTTTTATTTTGTTTTTCATTTAATTATTTATGTGTGTGTACATATGCATATACATGAGTGTGTGCACGCACGCGCACACACACAACCACACACACACACACAACCACACACACACACACACACCTGGGTCATGCCATTTGTCCTCCCACCATGATCTTAGGATCAAACTCAGGTCATCAAACTGATTGGCCACTCACATAATTTCTACACCAACCATTACCCCAGCATATCATGTAGACAGGGTAAATTAAGGTTAAAGATTATGTGGCTGGATTGGTCTCCCAACTCCTCCACTGGAAGTCATGCCTGATTACAGGAGATTGCCTGTTCAGGCTCTGTGTCTCCCATTGCAAGAAGTCTTAGCTAGGGGTCACCCACATAGATTCCTGGAAGTTTCCATTGCACTAGTTCTAACTAATCCCAGAGATGCCCCCCATTACAGTTGTCTTCCCAATACTCTCTCCCTCCATCCTCCCCCAGTCTGATCCTTCCTGTTTCCATACCTACCTCCCAATCTAGACCCCTCCCCCATCCACCTGTGATGTCCACTCTGTTTCCCCTTCTCAGTGAGATTCCTGGGTCCTCCCTTGAGCCTTCCTTATTGCTTAGCTTCTTTTGGTTCTCTGGATTGTAGCATGGTTATCCTTTACCTATAAGTGAGTACACATCATGTTTGTCTTTCTGGAACTGGGTTACCTCACTCAGGATGATCTTTTCTAGTTCCATCCATTTGCTGGCACATTTCAAGATGTCATTGTTTTTAACAGCTGAGTAACACTCCATTGTCTAAATGTACCACATTTTCTTTATCCACTCTACATGCATGGAATTTGTATTAATCAGGGTTCTCTAGAGGAACAAAACTGATAGAACATAACAGAAAAAAAAAAATATATATATATATATATATATATATATATATTTGAGGATTTATTAGAGTGGTTTACAGGCTGCAGTCTGACAATGCTGTCTACAAACAGAAAGTCTCAGAATCCAGTAGTAGTTCAATCCACAAGGCTGGGTATCTTAGTTGGTCTTCAGTATACACCAGAATCCTGAAGAAGCAGGCACTAATTCTATTGATGATATGAACTTGCCAGTATGAGTGAGAGACAAAGAGAACAAACTTCCTTCTTCCATGTCCTTTATACAGGCTGCCAGCAGAAGCTATGCCCCAGGTGTAAGGTGGATCTTCCCACCTCAAAAGATTTGGGTTTATGGTAGGTCTTTCCATTTCAAATTATTTAATTAAGAAGAATCCCTCTCAGGTGTACCTAGCCACTTGTGTTTAAGTTAATTCCATATGTAGTCGAGTTGACAACCAAGAATAGCCATCATACCACTTCTTTTATTGAATTTGACTCCAGTTGGGCTTGCCTCCTTTTTCTTTGTAGTGAAAGTCAGAATTTGCATTCTTGGTTGGAATACTCTTTGACCAATTTCAAATCCTCCTCAGGTCTCACCTTGGACAGTGCATCCTTTGAGGAATGTGTTAATCAGGATCCCTTTGGTTAAAACATGTCTGTTTTCTCTATCACATACCTTCGTTATTATTGTTCGATCTCAAGGGAAATTGTCTCTTCTGAGTTATCATGCGCCTGAAATTGTTTACTCCAGTACATTTGATTTGTTCATACTTGCAGGGACGAACAGCTTTACACTGGTCCTGTAATAATGGCTACCTTGATGCAATTAAATTACTGCTAGATTTCGCTGCTTTCCCTAATCAGATGGAGAACAATGAGGAGAGGTAAGCCATTGATTGGGAAGGGGAATGAGTATAGTGTTGCTCATCTCAAATCCTTCCTTTCAGATGAAGAAAAACATCTCAGGTTGATATATGGGTTTGAAAATAGTAAGTCCTCATAAGGAAGCATTGTACCAAGCAATCCTGAGCCAGAGGAAAGAACCACATTTCCATGTAGTGTTCACTAAGAACCATGGACTTTTGCACTTGCTCAAAACTTTGGATACTACTTATGGCAGGGTCACATTTGCAAATCGGGAAAAGGACCTTCTTCAGGCCTGTGTCTAACATATGACCCGTGAAATCCTGAATGACCAGACCCAGGAATTCATATAGACCGGCAGAATGAGTTACATATTCAAGTTGTTTCTATTAGTGGTGAGGATATAATTAGCTAGTGGAAAAGAGGCTGTCGTCATGTGTCTGAAAACATGGAGAAGCTAAGATGAAACTGAATACCTATAAATATCTGTAAATATTGCCTTCCTGAATAATATGGTTTACAGAGATATGCTAGGGTTGTCACTAAGGACTCTGGCCCAATAAAAAGGCTCACACACAGTAGGAGTGTAGCTCAGTTTCTAGTGCCTGCCTACCATGTGCTCAGCTCTGGGTTCCATTCCCAGCATGGGTAGAAAAGGGACCAGATGCAAAAGGAAGTCTATGCAGGAGAAATTCTGTGGATCTTGGCTATGAGAAGATTCTAGTAAATTGTAAGTAATGGCCAAGTTTATGATCACCGAACATTTTCCAGAGTCATCTTTGTTAGCAAGAAAACTGAAAGATGCCTCTCTTTAAGTTCCAAATAAAAAACAGAAAGGAAAGAATCTCCCAAATTAGTGACTTTTTAAAGAACTTTGGGCCAGAAAGAAGGCTCAGCAGGTAAAAGACTTACTGCACAAGTCTAACATCCAGAGCACAGTGTCCAGAACCCACAGTGGGAGGAGAGAACCCACTCCTGAAAGCTGTTCTCTGACCTCCATTGTGCCATGGCACTTGTTCACCCACATCCACACACATGCATATGCAGAGCAGCAGCATCAGTCAGTTAATTAACAAGAAAGTTTATTTCCTAAAGCCAGTCACAAATCTATTAGTGTCTGTGATGTTTAGAAGTGATTAAAAAGAATTTACTTTCACAGTATTTATTTCCTGGCTGTTCTCTTTGTAAAGAAAATGTGTACTGGAAAGAGTGGCCATTCCTAGCCTGTCTCAGTGTTTCCCCAGCCATGCACCTTGATAGACACATGTCAGAAGCTGGCACTGCAGCTTATGTTTATTGACATTCTGTTTGGGCATTCTGCTGAACTCATCAACCCATTCCCATGTGGCAGGTCCAATTGTATGTTATCTCTTCTTGGTGTCTACATTGTTTCTTGGCTGGTTACCATCAGTGTAGTGCTAATTTCTACTTCTTGTGCATAGACACTAACCAAGTGATGTACCCCAAATAGGCATCATTTCTGCCAACTTCTGCTGTCTCTTGGTCAATAGCCATCTGACAGCCACTCTCTCATGTCAATGGGAATATTCACAGTGCTTGAATGTTGCTAAATTGATCTTGGGATAGAATGATAATAACAACACCATGTCCAGTTTCTTAAACAGTGGATGCAAACTTTAATCTCAAGACCTAGCCAAATACTTAGATCGTGTCTCTCTAAAGTTAAGATGGATTTGATTAAAATTTCTAATTTGTATAAATCAATAATTAAAAGAAGACATGTTTAAGACAGTTGAGGAATTGTACATTATATTTTACTAAGAAATCTTTGCTAATTTTGTTAGCATAATGCTCCTTGTGGCTGTGCCTATATGCTGTATGGATGAATGCTGAGACATATAGAAATGGACTGACAGAACTCCACAATTTGCCTTAAAATACTTAAGCAAAATTTAAAAGGAAAAAAATTGAAAGAAATAAACATGTCAAAAAAAAACCTTTCTGGTTCTTAAGTTTGCGTTCTGAAAGTATGGAGAATTGTTAGGTTATTTCTCAATATTTTATACTTGAAATATCACATAATGAAAATATGATTTTTTATAATAAAAATATTTAAGATATTAAGTTTTACTACAGAGACAGCCTAAGAGATCTGGGTCTCCCCCTCCTTTTTTCCCCTGTTTTAAGGATGAGGAAATAAACTCAGAGAAGTTAATTGACTGCCCAGGGTCACACAGGTTCCTCATTCCCAGTCCAGATTTTTTGTGATAAATACTACATATTAGTACTTAAAGAAAAATTGTTAGGCTTACTGAATATATATGTTGTATGCAAATTGATAACACAAGCATCTCTATTATACTGGAATGTATCCAATAGTTAATAGACGAGGAGGTTTTACCAAACTGGCTACATAATTGTCAGCAAGTTGCTTAACTTTCCTGAATCTCTCTGTATGAAATGAAAATGTTGCATTTATGACTTATAAAGGTCAATTCAGACTGCTGCACTATGTTCAATGACTGTCTGATAATCTCTTCATTAGTGCAGACAGAAGAGATTCTTAAATCTTCTGACTATAAAATAACATCTATTTATAAATATCATTTGAGATTACTTACTTATGGCCCTCTGTTTCCCGAATAGTAGGGGCAAATTAAGACATTCTGAAATGACTGTTTTTTTTTTTTTTCAGCTGTTGAGGCTTCAGTAAGGAAACCATACATGAATCTGTGACTCACCCAGTACAGGCTCTGAATTCAGTTTACTTCTTGAAGCAGCCAAACCACCCTTATTCTGAAAATCTATTCCTTTTATGCTGTACTGTAACTATTAAGTAAAACTTGAAGAGAGATTTTTCTTTTTGGTAGTCAGTATGTGACTTTCTCAGTCTAATCTTGCATCCCTATAACAATATCCATTTTCCCATTTAAGTCAGCTCATGGTTTATGACTGTGTTGACTACCTCAGTCACCCTGTGAGCTTGGCCTCAGTGTGCAGTTGTCACTAGCTAAATGTGAGCTTGGGTCCTATGGCAGTGTTTATGGCAGGTTACTGTGGCATCATTAAACCCTGCTGCAGGGTGGATCCTGAGCAGCAGCTGACATACAGGATAAGCCCCTTTCCATTCACCATTCACTTTCCCATTCATTTCTTTAACAGACAAAGACAGCTGAGACTCCAAAAGATCAAGTCTGGTTAGAAGTGACATTACTGTCATCATCAGGAGATTATTTTACTTCAGTCTTTGTTCTTTTATTCTGTCTGAAGTCTTAAAATACTTACTGTTGTGGAATATTAAAGATGTATTACATTCTTTTATGCTGTGTAACATTAACTTAATGATGCAAAGATGTGTTGCATTCTTTTATGATGAATTTGTTTCATTCTGCAAAGCTGTGTTACTTTGCCTGTCTGAAACATCTGATTGTGCTAATAAAGAGCTGAATGGCCAATAGCTAGGCAGGAGAGAGAAATGGGCAGGGCTGGCAGGCAGAGAGAATAAATAAAAGGAAAAGACAAAAGAGGAGAGAGGAGCGAGAAAAAAAGGAAGAGAGGAGGCCGGCCAGCCACACAATCAGCCACGGAGTAAGAAGGAAGGAAGACATACAGAATAGAGAAAGATAAAAGCCCAGAGGCAAAAGGTAGATGGGATGATGATTTAAATAAGAAAAGATGGCTAGAAATAAGTCAAGCTAAGGCCGGCATTCATAAATAAGACTAAATCTCCATATATTTATTTGGAAGCTGAATGGCAGGCCCCCAAAGAGTAAAAAACAACCAATTGCAATGTATCATTTAAACAATATATTCATTTTTGTCTTTTTTAAATGATGGTTTTCCCTGTAATTTTTTTATTACTTTGTCACATTTACTGGTCTTTTATGGTTATTAAGTTCCATATCTCTTATTTTAAAAAAAACTTCCTGTTTACTTCTAGGGTCTCCTTCAGTCTTCCATGGATCATCTAGTACATGCATAGTTTCTAATGTGAATGTAGATCTTTGCCCCATCTGCACTATTTTGGTTTATGAAGCAATATACAAGTCTCTTTAGGTGGGTGTGGTTATACACACCTTTAATGGCTGTGTAGAGAAACCCTGCCTCAAAAACAAGCAAACAAAAAAGTCTCTTTTACCAAGTGGCTACCGGGTTTTACCAACACCATTTAGTTAACAACCCAGCTCACCTGCAGTGACTTACAGGAATCTTCTGTATCATGGAGTCAGTTTCCCCTGAAATAGGATTCTTTTCATAAGCACTAATTATCAGTAATTACAGAAAAATAATTTGGAAAATCTTTTGAAACAGGAGTAGGGAATCGCTTGGCACAATGGGAAAAAGGGAATTAGTCATGTGTTCTCATAGCCGCTAGCCCAGCGGTTCTCAACCTGTGGGTCATAACCCCTTTCATAGGGGTCACATATCCTAGATATCACATATTTACATTACAGTTCATAATAGTAGCAAAATTACCTTATGAAATAGGAATGAAATTATTGTATGGTGAAGGGGATGGTCACCACAGCATGAGGAACTGTTTAAAAGGCCTTAGCATTGGGGAGGTTGAGAATCAGTGCTCTAGCTTATGAGCCAGCCCCCAGAGCTCAGCCACACAAAGGTGAACCTGCAGCCTCTTGTTTTGTTTTGTTTCTCCTTGAAGAAAGAAGAGCAGACTAGAAGGTTTTGCCTGGGAAATAGCCCATGGTAGAACGAATGTCTTTCTGCTAGGTGCTAATACAGTTTCACTGTGCCTTGAATCACAGTCCATTCAAAACCAACCTTACTCTTGCTTCAGGTACACACCCCTTGATTATGCATTGCTTGGTGAGCGCCATGAGGTGATCCAGTTCATGCTGGAACATGGTGCCCTGTCTATCGCAGCTATACAAGACATTGCTGCCTTCAAAATCCAAGCTGTCTACAAAGGATACAAGGTCAGAAAGGCCTTCCGAGACCGGAAGAACCTCCTCATGAAGCACGAACAGCTGAGAAAAGATGCTGCGGCTAAGTAAGTGTGAGCCACATAGTTGCTTTCAGCTGAGAAGGGAAACTGGGTGGAAGGGGGAAGGAGGGAGAACTCTCTGGATGGATCAGTTCCTCTGTCACCTTCTTGCTCTTCAGAGGACTGATGGAAAGAGCAAGGCCCAAACTCCATCCAGCATTTCTGCTAGATCCATCTCTGTTGTTCTGGCTGCTGCAACCTTGGCACAAAGTTATGATGAGATTGCCACGTAGAGCAAGCTACCAAGAAAGAACTTAGCTTCTTGCCCCTCCTGGCATTCTGGCAAGGAGTGTGTGTGTGTGTGTGTGTGTGTGTGTGTGTGTGTGTGTGTGTGTGTGTGTGTGTGTGTGTAGGTGCACATGTATGCATGCCAAGGGACAACCTCAAGTGTTGTTCTTTAGGTGCCATCCATGTGGTTTTTGAGACAGTTTCTCTCACTGACCTCAAGCTTGATAAGTAAGGTAGTCTGACTGGCTGGTTAAGAATTCCCCAGTATCTGCCTGTGTCCACTTCCCCAGCACTAAATTACAGGTACATAATCTCTCTAGCACTGAATTATAATGTACCATGTGTAGCCTTTGTTTTTGAGATAGGGTCTCTGATATTGACAGGCTGGCCTTGAACTCACAGAGAACTACCTGCCTCTGCCTCCTGAGTGCTGGGAATAAAAGTATGCACAACTACACTCTGCCAGCTTTTTTTTGGGGGGGGGGTTCAAGACAGGGTTTCTGTGTATTGCTTTGGAGGCTGTCCTGGAACTAGCTCTGGACTCGAATTCACAGAGATCCACCTGTCTCTGCCTCCTAAGTGCTGGAACTAAAGGTGTGTGCCACCAATGCCCAGCTCTGCCAGCTTTTTAAAAATGTGGCTTTTAGGGATTAAACTCAGGCAGTCATATTTGACCTGCAAGAACTTTACCAACTGATCCATCTCCCCAGATCCCTTCTTGTTTTATTGAAAGAAACTAATGTCTAGCCAAATTTGCTAAATGAATGTAAGTCTAGTTTTGATTTAACCAAAGAAACCCCATGTATAAATAACTGGTTCTTCTTCCCCATTTCCTGACAAGCCTGTGTAGATACAGTTGTCCCATGTGCATGTGGAGGGGGCATGGAGTCAGGATTTCCTTCAGACACCAAGATTAGTGGGTACCCAAAACTCTGACATAAGTGTATATATGGAGCCATCTATAGATTACTTACAATACTTAACATAATATGAATGTCATGTAAATTACTGTTATAAAATATTTAGGAAAAAATGAAAAGTGTCACAATGTTCAACACAGATGGTAATTTTTTATCTGAAATTTTCCAATCTGTGATTGGTTGACAACTGTAATAGAAGTATTCTAAATACCTGAAACTTATATTACCAAATACCTTGTCAATGGAGCTGTAGCTGAGTGTTCCTAAAGGCTGCCCTGGCTGTAACTTGAGTGTCGCCAAGTCTTAAGTACTCAGCTCTTTAATTTTTCTGTTTTTCCCACAATGAAGTATAAGTGTGATAAAGAACCATTAAAAAAAATCATAGAATAAAATACTTGGAAAAAGTGAAAGGATACTATGTACTAGAATGCCAGCCCTCTATAGGTAAGCTTGCAGGAAACTCATCTTTAATGTGACTCTGAAGACACTGAAGTAGTTGGTATCCTGCGTGGGGTCACTATCGCTGTGATGAAACACAAAGCAACTTGGGGAGGAGGGGGTTTATTTGTCTTATGCTTCCCAATCACAAATACATCATCATCAAAGGAAGCCATGACAGCAACTCAAGCAAGGCAGGAACCTGGAGGCAAGAAATGACACTGAGTCCATGGAAGGATGCTGCTTACTGGCTTGCTCAGTCCACAAAGCTGGATGTCTGAGCTAGTCTTCAATAGACACTGGAATCCCAAAGAAGTAGGTTGTAATTCCAGTGAAGGAATGGACTACTAGTAAGTCAAGGGCAAGCAAGCAAAGAGCAAAACCTTCCTTCTTCCGTGTCCTTATATAGGCTTCTAGAAGAAGGCATGGCCCATATTAGATCTGGATTAAAAACATGTCTTTCCCAGCTAAAAGGATCTGAATTAAAGACCCAGATAAGAAGTAGATCTCTGAAGCTTCTAGATTAGAAGTAGATTTTCCTACTTCAAATTAAGCAAAAGTCCCACACAGGTGTGCCCTCCATTTCGGTGTTTTAGTTCTAGATGTAGTCAAGTTGTCAACCAAGTATAGACATCACAGTTAGTATCCCAGGAAACAGCATATTACACTCTTTTATTTTATGCATGTATGTATATACTTGTAAGTATGTGTTCTTATGTACATACAGTAAGTTGTGTGTCAATTTTGGGAACACTGTTTACATCCTTTGAGGTAGGGTTTCTCAATAGCCTGAAGCTCACCAATTAGGCTAAATTAGCTAGCTAGTGAGCCTCAAGGACCCCTCAGTCTCCACATACTCACAGCTGGGTTTCCAAGAAGATGCTACCATGTCTGGGTTTTTACATAGGTTCTGAGTAACTAAATTAGGACCTTATGTTTGCAAGGCAAATGCCCTATAGAATAAGCAGCCTTCAGCCCACCCCCGCCCTTCCTAGATATGTTCTTATTATGTAGATCAGGCTGGTTTTCAGTGCACATGTGTACACTGCCACTCTCAGCTTGTCCTCTTCCTCATCTTAATAAGGCCATCTTCATCCCATCAGCCTAAAGCCTCTACATGATGTCTTTCAAATATGGGATGGAATATTGTACTAGAAGGGGTCCACATTAATGGGAATGATTGTAAGACTCCCAGTGGATGCCTGGACACCTTGGATGTCACTGAAACCTGTACAGATGCCCACCCACCCCCAGACTAAGATGCTGTGAAAGTGATGAATTCAGGATTCAGAAATTACTCCATAAAATTTGTTATTTCCCCAATACAAGACTCTCATCTCACTGATCAACAGTACTGAGTCACCACTCCCACTCAGCCTCAGTCTTTTAAGAAATAGCTGTTGCTGTATTGTGCCCCCAAGTCACTAAACTGTGATGTTCACTAGGTGTATTAAAATAATTGATAGTAGCATGAGCTATCCAGAATGTAGCAGTGTTATAAGCTGAGCAGTGTCTGGACATGCTGCTTTTTCTTGTTCATACATGCCCATGATAAAGTGCTTCTTACATGTTAGGCTCAGTAAAGGATTAAGACAGGAATACAGTAAAACCACCTAACAATGAAGCGTAAAGAAAGTTACAGGAATCTGGTCTTTATCTCTAAATATCCTGTGCACTTTTTGAAACCTTTGTTTATCGAAAGCCCTCCGTGGCAGGTCTGAATTCTTAGCATTTCTGCCCCTGTGCTTCAGAGGCATTATTAAGCACGAAGGTAGTTTAAGCAGCACTGCAACAGTGACCCTCTGAACACTTAGGAATTGGTTGTTTCTAGAGTTTTCTATTCAATGGGAAACAGAAACTAGAAAACAAAACTATGGAGACTACTGTATTTCCTCCAGCTGATGGGTCCATAAATTCCAGTTTAACATTTAAGAATCTTCCTCCAGAATGCAGTCATGGGGCTGGAGAGATGGCTCAGCAGTTAAGAGTATGGCTCTTTTTCCTGAGGACTCAGGTACAATTCCACCTCACACCTGTCTGTGACCCCAGTTCCATGGCTTCTGACACCCTCACACAGACATGCATACAGACAAAATACTAATGAACATGAAATAAAAATAAGTTATTAAAAATGGGATATCACTCACTCAGTGGTAGAGCATTTAACTGCAAAATCCAGTCATTTATACCCAAATATGAAGTGCAACTCTACAGAGGTTGCATAGCTGACATTGTGTATCCTCAAAAAGAATTGCATTCATCTGAACCCATTCTGCTTCATCTGTAGAGACAGGAGGCTTGAGTTCTTTCCCATTCTCTCTCCTTAGCAGAGAAAGAGGGGTGGTAAAGTGGGGGGGGGGGAACCAGATGCAAAACCAGCCTGATCAAGAAAGACAGTATTTCTCTCTGGCCCTCGATTTCATCTGTGATATGAGATCAGGTAGACTTACTGATCTCACGGTATTCTTCAGGTCTGTAGATTCCCAAGTTTGCACTAGACCCTCATCTTTCTCTCCCAGAGGGAGTTTGGATGGATATCCTGTTGAGTGAGTCATTGCAGAGCTGGGGACTCAGCACTGTGTGATCTCCTGTATAGAGAATACATTTTAAAGCACTGGTGTACTTAAACAATATTGTGCTTACGATTTTTTTTTTCTTTTCCTAACATATACATCAGTATCCTAATCTAGAGGCCTGAAACAGAAAGGAAATTTTAGGAAATGCTGAAACCCACCCTCTCTCTCTCATTGTAATTCCAACGAGATCCTCTACCATGGAAGAAAGGGCCTTTTTGTTTTTAAATTTTAGCTTCTGAAGTTAACATTTGGGAACTTTTTAAAATGATAGCTAGGCTTGCTTGTGTTCATATTATGACTTAGAAACTGGGAAAGCTGCAGTGTCTCCTATTGTTTACATACATTCTTTCAGTGGTGTCAGTGTTGGAAGCAGAGTTCATAGCATTCAACTGTCACCTCTCCTTCTCATCCCCATACAACTCACACTTCCCACACTCGTCCTTGTGTGGACCCCACCTCCTGTATTCATGGTTGTGTGGACCCCACCTCCTGCACTCACCCTTGTGTAGACTCCACTTCCCACACTCATCACCATGAAACCCACCTCCTGCACTCAGGTGAAGGTCTTAGAGACTGTTATCATTTTCATTGTAACTCTCAACAGTCATTTCTTAAAGTCCAAGTCATTGTTTGATTTGCCTTTGAGATTTTGCTTTAAGAAATAAAACCCAGAATTCTACTGCTGAATCCTTAATGAAGGCATGTCAGGCACATGACATTATCTCAATGCCCGTTTCTTATGTAACCATGTTTGGACATCGGGAATCACCTTTGTAAAGTGAGCAGGTGAAAGGGATTCATTAAACATGAAGGAAAGTGATCTCTGATTCACGATGGAGAAGTT